ACAAACGTACAATTTTCAATCTGGCTTGACAGTTCTTATCTTGTTGGTAATCAGAAAATCGTATTTGCTATTTCAAACGCTAGTTCATCCGGTATTATTCAACTACCAGTTATGTTCATACGATCTTGTAACAGTCAAAATTCTACTACTAACTGCACATCTTATCTTCATGGCGTTGGATCAAACGGGATCCAACGCACTTCATATATTGGTATGGTCTTGATATTCGTGTTTCTAGCCATCTCTGCGTATTGACTTGAACTCTCACTTCAAATATCTTTGCCTCAAACAATCACTTTTTTATTTTTTGAGGGTGATGGTGAGATATTATAACGTGTTGTTATTACGATTTATATCATCTCACAAGATGACAAAAAGTTGTGTGATCCACGAGTGTAGGACTCGCTTTTCCCCTCTTGAAACTTACTTTATCATGTCCTTCGTTGTACCGTTGAAAAGTCGTAAAATAAAGTTTTCTTTTCAAAACTCTACGTCGTGTGTCTAATATTTGGTTCAATATGTTGAGGGTGAGTTCAAAAACAGAAATTCGTTTATCCGTTCGTCTGTCGCAGATTAAAGATCAAGCAGACAAAAAAATTTACATTAAAAAAATACCACATATCCAACAAAAACTACTACAGAGGAATCCTTAGGTGCTTAAGCCCTGCTCTATGGGAGCACCCTTCGATCATCAAATCGTTTAATGTGAAGATAACTTGTGATCTTCGTATGCTGCACTATGACGGTAGCCATCGTTTCTTTTATGCTATAGCGTGGAGATGACTCGGGTACTCCAGTTTTAAATTACGGTGACACTTTTGAATTTTGCATGAAGTCTCTCTAGCTGTTGTGAAATTTTTCCGGAAGTAGCATTATAGCAATATATCGTTTAGGTTTGCAATACTCGGCTGCCCGAACATTTCTTTTGTTACTTATTGTAAAATCTTGAGATGACACCTAGAGTGCTCTGTAGCTTAAGACTTCTACATTTTTTAAAGTAAATATAACTTTTGGATAAAATCCGAAGTTTCCGCATTTAGTCCATATTAAAATGCATTTAATTGATCTTCTTATACATGCATACAGTCGATTATTGAAGTCTCCTATGGTTTATCTGTTGAATTGAACGAACGTGTAGATGAGATCTAACTAGATAGTTATATCAATCGAATCCCGTAATTTCAGAGACTATAAACAATTTTCGTCTTTATAAATGAATCTCCGATTTCAACATATTTCTATTTTTTATATTCTGGACTGTAATAAAATTAAATGGTGAGCCAAATTTTATACCGGATCAGTTATATATTTTTCTATCTTTTTTGTAGTTTGTCAGAGACTTCATCCATGATTCTTCTCCTCCACTTCCACTTCACTCCCCTTTCATCATTTCATTCTCCTTCCTCTTTCTTTTCTTCTTCGCATATATATACTCATCGTTTTATTGAGTTGCCCAGGTCAGTCGTTTCGGTGAGTTCCTTGCCGTCGGAAAACGAAGTTGACCGGTTGGAACTGATCGGGCCACAATGACTTGGGTGAGTTTATGCATTTTGATCGTGTTCGTTCGTGTAATAAACATCTCATATAATCTTTCATACAAGTCTATAAATTCTATATGCTTTTTATATCCCCAATCGTATAGCAATACATGTATACAATCGGCACTTTCACAAATGAGAAACTTACTAAATGATTAAGAGAACACTGTGATAATTAAAGCCATATCCGATTAACTATAAATACATCTAAATCTATTCTTAATATGTATTTTTTAAAAATGTACACTCTTATCGGATGATCAAGTATCCTGAAACCATATCAAGTCGAATAGAATGTATACGTTGGAAATAAAATAAATTCGATAAGTCTATCTCTTCATTAAACAATTGTGCTTCTTAATTCTATAAACGCAACCGTATTTCCTCATTAGGACACTGTTTTAATAACACTGTACCACAAAGCTTAAATACAATGTGAACATTCTTTGTTTATCCACCATGAAAAGATTTTAACATAATATTATATCAAGAAGCCTGTAATTTCTGTTTTTTTCCTACTTCCACGACAGCTAGTCCAAAGCCTTTTCTCTTTCGACGGCGGCGGCGAGAAATTTTTGAAATTTGAGTTGTCATATATAAAATCATTAAAGCTGAAATAATATTACATTAAAATGATAGAGAAAAATGAAATATATTAAAGGCTATTCATGATGACATATTTGACAAAAAAAAAAGAGTTTTTTTTGCATAGATAGTATTTAGTTTTCTTCTTCTAACGTTATACGAACGTATTTACATAATAGAATACCTTTCAAAGACAGATTTGTTACATTTAACATGGGAAACAACATTGGATTTATTCTGAATTTATGTGCACTTTCTTTTGATACAATTACATGTACAGTAACAATAATAGTTTTGTTGTTTATTATTTATAATCTTTATCATAATCGAATAAAAAAAGAAGAGAAAATAATTATTCTTCTTACTACTTACACATACGTATCCTTGTTAATAATGATATCAATAACAACTTCCTTCAATATTCAAACATTTTTGGGTGATATCTATGGAGAAAATTTCAATTCACCAACATGCATCTTAAAGGGACATGTATTTTATGCATTTATTAACGCTTTATACTATAGTTTTGTAAATCAAGTAATGATTAGTTTTGAGTAAAGATGATTCATCAGAATTTTTGAAAACACTCTTTTCCATTTAGGCATTTTATCGTTATTGTCGAATATTATATCCAATGAATCGTTGGTTTCAACTATTAAGAGTATATCTAATAATATTTTTCGTTGAATTACTTTTAATAAATATTATTCTTTCTGTTCAAACTTATATTTGGTATGATATTATTTATTTAAACAATGAATATTATTGTCTTTTGGATTACAAACGTATTCGTAGTGTAATTTGGGTAGTTTTTAATATTTATGCAATACCTTTATCTCTAATAATAGTTATCTATTTCCGAGTTGGAAGATTTCTTCGTCGACAACAGACCAATCACACATTGATGATAAAACAACGTCAACAACGAGATTTTATTATTCTTCGACGTATTATAATTATAATCGGTATATTAATTATTCTCGGAGTTCCAACTATTGTTCTTATTTTCGTGTTTTTTATAACAGGTGAAATGCATCCATTATTTCATCGTGTGATGTGGTTTGCTGTGAATTTATCGGCGATGACATTGAGCATATCATTGGCGATTGTTACACCACAATTGAAAAATATGATATGGAAAAAATTTCAACAAACTCAAATAATACCACTGCCTAATGCAATTACAAATGAAAAGCAAATGAGACATAATACAATCGATACATAAATGAATTTCCTTTTTTTGCGTTTAGAAAAAACGATTTCGTCACATCCTATTTTCAAGAGTATCTTATATATTTATAAAATTGCTGTAATCTTTCTATTTCCATGAATTTACTGTACTGAGAAGAGAAGTAATAGTGAATCTATAATGACTGACATGAGTAACCCTAGTCCTCCCGTTCTCTTTTACGCAATAAAATATCAATTTACGTTTCTATAGAATGTTTTCTCTCGGTTTTAAAGTTACTATCTTGACAAAAAGCTGATACTGTTGTATCAAACTTGATAGAAAAATACGGACAGTATGTTAGTTCTTTATTTACAACTATTAATACAAAAAGAAATCTTAATCTAGAAAGGTACTAAATGAAAGATGGATATTTTAGATTCATAATCTAATCAGGTGAATCATATATCATCATAACTGGATAGTCCAAAATTCAATCAATAAATATCTCTAAGCAGATTGGGGATCAATGTACAATGAAAATGGTGCATGAGTCTTAGGTTTTATTCAAAAATTTAATTTGCTTTCGCATCTAGTATTATGCTAAATACCGATGACCTAAAATGAGATGAAATAGAAGAAATGAGTTTCATTCAAAGGGGCAAGTGCAGGCATTCAGCAGCCAAAAACGGCGTCAGATGCTGGTTGGGCGTTAGGATGTTGAATGAGCTATGGAAGATAAGTATAAATTATGGCTGGCAGCAGTCTGTATCATATTTACCGTTATAGTATAAGTCGACGCGAGAAATATGTATTTTCAAAATTGAACTCTGATTATCTAAAAAATAATTGATTATTATTTTGATATTAACTTAATTACGATTATCAGAAGATGTTCTTAGTTACAAACACGAACAATTTTACAATTTTATAAGGAAAAAATCTTGCCGGATTAGTAAGATTCCAAGCTATAAGAAATGGAAGTCATCTTTTAAATTCATCATGTGACGAGATTTTATTGATTTTACAACATGATTCCAAGAATATCAATCAGTTAAAAGATTTAGGTTGCTTTATAGTTGCTGACAATAAATGTTAAGCGAAATTAGGTGTTAGACTTGCAATAACCAGTTAAGTTCAATTACTGAGGCTGAAGCAAGAACAACAACAGAAAAAGAAACGAAATTCAATTAAAGATTTACCGATCTCAATTGAAACTTCTATATATGCTAATCAAACACAACCGGGAATTGAAGTGCTATCGCCATCTTCATCACCATCTATTCCATCTATGGAAGATACATCATTAACATAGTCAAATATGTCTCAAGCAGTAAAAAATTTTAACGAAATTGAACACAAGATTGATATTGAAGACCGTATTAGTAATTGATGGAAAACAACGAAAGAAGGTAATGGTTCATCTTTGGAGTTAGGTATACATTATTTGTTGGCAATCAACAAATCAATTAATAACAAATACGCTTGTGTTTTAACTTGTCATAGTCAACTCCTTTTAAATTCATGATATCTTTCAAATTTAACAATAGAGTCAGGTAAAGAATTCTTTCGATTGATTAAGTGTTCATCGAAGGAACAATGAAAGTTTAACACATTCAATCTCAAAACGCGATTAAGATCTCCACCGATGCATGCACCTTCAAACGTGAACATTGTTAATACAAAGAAGAATCGATCAATCACATAAAACATTTATAATGATATCTTACATCTATGGTTAGACATTCGTATTCATATATTATCTGAGTTTCTTATGATATAGCTATGGCAATTTCATCATTGATCAAATTCCATATTGGTTATTTTTTATTTGCATGAAGCTTATTTCTCATTTTGGTTGATATATGAACTTTTTGACCTGTGTTATTTCGTATTAATATGTAAATAACTCAATGTATTTCATGTTTTTGACGAAACTTTGGTTTACAAAGGCTGCTTGATGGACATAATAGCAAAGATTTATACATTTATTACGAAATGATTGATTCATATTGTTCTGGATAGGTTCCAATTTCTTGGCCAATCAACTTTATTATCATTATAGATTTCAAAAGAATTATTATTGTGTTTACCTTAATAACGATGGATATTTTTCAACCTAATCAATTGACCGATGATATGATGAATTTAAGTTACGAAAAGTTCTATGAATTTTTAAAAACTACTTTGAATAATGATTTATGTGAACTTTTTCGAATTCAAGCTATTCGAGATATGTTTTCTCTATCATCAACAACAGTCGATCAATTAATTGAAGTTTTCAATTGTGATATTCTGGAATTGCACCCTTTGAAACAAAAACTTGGTTGTGTTTCCACAAATGGAAATTTTTATCTCCGACTTGGTTTTCGAAATTCACTTGATCGTTTATTATCGTTAATAAAGACGAAAATGAATTCACGTATGAACAATTTAATTGTACCAGTCAATCACATAGAATGTGATATTACACAAAAATTAACAGAACTGATGGGAAGGTACACCTAGTTTATCAAATCATGATAATGTGTTCCTATCCGTATTTCATGGATTAAAAATATTGTTCAAAATCTTAAAAGACTGAAGAATAAATTTAGTTATGATCATCGTACTCAACAATTTGCTCTTTAACTATTAGTTCTGGGCTGTCGAAATTATTATGGATTTCTTCGGTTGAATTTATATGGAGTATTACTTCATATTACTACTTTAGAGCTATTGATGAGTAATCAGAACGTTAGAATTATTGAAGGACAGTTCAGATTTGATTTATTACAAGAATATTTATTTTGTTCTACTACAAAGACTCTCGTCGAATAGGCAGGGAGTAGATTTCGATCTGACTTAAATAAAGATACACCACACGGTGGGTCTTCAGGTCCGTTTACGTCTTGTTCCATATCTCTACATCAATATCGACAAGACAACGTTGACAGCGTTATATTCTATCGCAACATCTCCTTTTATCGTTACAATTAGGTTAGTATCGATTTAAATCTGAACTTAATTTGAATAATAATTATGGACGTGTTCTTTTATATATTTTTGATAGCACTATTGGATTAACAATGTTCTTTTGTTAAATTATGAATAGATAACATATATACTAATGGTAAGAACGTCGTCTATACGTATTATTGATATTTAGAATCGATTCGGCTTTGAAAATAAATAAAACATTATATACACTTCATGCTCCATAGATGATGTTGATATATCTAGAAAGAAAAATTTTGCTGGCCATAAAATCGAATTAAATAAATTCGGTTAATTATTAACATATGCTCATCAGCTTAAGCCGACAGCTTTCAGATTCAGAACATGCCTGATGATGAGCCCTTAAGCAAGGTTCGAAACGCGTTGTGTAATGCTTTGAATCTATTCGATGAATATCCACACCCATTCTCAATTTTATTTGTATTTATTATGGAAAAGAATATGGAGCAAAAAATGATACGAAACAACCAACGATGATATTTGATGATCGACGTGTATACCATATTTTCTGAAAAAAAAACTATTAAATTTATCTAGTGAATACATATTTGCGAATAATAATTTCGAAGAGAAATGTAATTATAAATGATGGAATGAAATATCGGAAAATGTGAATGTGTCATAGCATTTACTTATTGATTCACATTCCTTGAAAGTTTTCATGTAAAACCACTCTTAAGGAACTGTCATACACATTTCATAGTAACAGAAAACATACCGAACTTAGCCGAGAATGGCAGCACAATTACACCCATAGCAAGCAGTATCATAGCAATGATCATAACTACCAGTAAGAGCACAGTACACACAACAACCATTCAAACCGCCACAACTAGCACGGGGTGTGATTTCAGAAGCTAAAGTACGGAGTACATATTGTGAATTTATAGCAACGTTCATATTGTCGCCGTTTTCGCCTGCTGGCCATGCCATGGAGCTTGTTAAAAACAATACTGCGAAAATAGCACACGAAATTATATTGATATTGACATAGACCATTTTTAACATTTGGTAATATAGAATTCTTTTGCTGAATAACTAGACAATTGACCTTGTACACTGTTGATTCCGCATTTATATATATTGCTTGACCATCGTCAGCTGTCATGTTTCCCACGGCTCTAGTCGTTTTGTGACGCATGTATAACACAAATCGAAAGCAAACAGACTCATGATAAAGCACTAATACTATAGTGAGAGTATACTAGTGTGGTGATTAAAATTGTGACGTTTTTCGTCGAATGATACTGTTGTAAAAAAAGTGTTTCGTTGAAATACTAGTTGAAATAGATAAAGAAACAAATAGTGCCATATCGCTATCAAGGAATTAGACCATTTTCCCCGAAGAGAATTCAGCAAAGATAAACTTCGCCGAATGAATTGATGATCGAAAACATATTTGAATGGTTCAAGATTTCAATCAGTTAACTTGAAGTTTTCGTTTTATGTTTACACAACATTGAAACTATATTTTCGCTCGAAAAGTACTTTCAGTTATAATTCATTTTTTATTCTGATAAACTGATAAATGTTGTAGAAAAGCGTGGCAGTATTAACTCTTTTCTTTGATCTATTTTTACTGATATGTAGAGAGTAAATTAAAAATATATTGGAATAGTTTTTCATTTCATCCTTATTGAATTATACCAAACAATCATATGCGACAACTGAACCAGTGAGTGAGTAATTTCGTCGAAATGTACCTACTATGTCTGATTTCGCCGAAGTAAATAAAAAATAGATCACACGGACTGTATTCCTGTGAGTAAAACGACAGCTGTATTTCTCCATTCATGGAAAAAAAACTTTTCTTTGTTCGTTCTCTGTGGCCGATGTATTATATATAAAGTTGAAGCACGACTTTAGGACCATACCACTTATAAAGCTAGGTTTATTCATCAATCACTCCTTACTCAAGCATTGAATAGCAACAAGAATCATGCAAAAGACCAGCCAATTAATTTGTTTGATCGTCGTTGTCTTGGCGTTGATGACTACAAGCTGTATGGCACGCACCGTACCCAAACAAACTGAAGTCAATGGTAGTCTTCGTGATTTAATCAACAAGCGCGGCTATTGTAATAGTACTTGTCTTAATACATGTTGTTTCCTTTTTGAGGCTACTCATGGTGGTTGTGATCAGAGTTGTTATTTTTATTGTTGCTAATAAGCCACGGTATGTTGCATCGAGAGAATGTCACTTCGACTACTTTACAATACTGGACTAAGTTACTATTTTTTCTTTGCAGGAAATATGGCAGTAATACACATCTACAACTAAAACTCAACATTCCTAACATCTTTTTGTCAACCTCAAACATTTTAAACTTTTTTTTTCCTTTTTTTTCATATTCTCACCTGGTTAACTTTCTTCTCTGATACTGTCAACTATTTTTCGAGATAGAAGCAACTTTCTATTTCTCATAAATTCACCACCAATCGGTATTCCACGCAAATTCAATTTGTAGAGATAGATACAGACTCAAAAAGCGAAAGTCTACCGTATGTGTGTGTGCTGTGTGAACAAACAGATAAATTTTTAGGACGAGTTGATCGATATGATGTTCAACAGGCGCATATTGGCGGCTAAACGTGTCGGTTCATTATATTCTTGTATTAGATAAAATAAAGTATACTTAATCCTCAAACGCCCACCTGGGGTCCGTACGCATTCCAAGCTAATAAGATAGATACAATACTAGTTCCCTTTTCTGAAAGAAAGGGTTATAGCGTTCTAAAATGGGTGGCTTAAAAGCTAAAATTTTGTGGGTTTGTCCAATCCAACTAGGTTGCAGCTTTTTATAAATCAATGAAATCTTAGAGATGACCATACGGAAATGATTCACCTGAGGTAATCAAGGTCAAGCATCACGAATCCAATATTAGTTTTTCCCTAAAAACTATCTGTCCTGTTTTTTGTGACAACGGTTCACTTTTTTGCAAAAAGATATTTTTTTATAAGGGTTGACCGAAGGGTTGTCGGGACCGAGGATCGCGAATTCGGCGTTGGTTTTTTCAGAGAAGGGATATCTGATTAGAAAAACGATTGTTTGCGGTTTGATCATGCATGACTTGCGAGTGAGAAGTGAAGTGGGAAGTCAACTTATGAAAACTGTATAAATGGTTGTCGTTTCAGTGATATACATAAAATGTACTGGGAGAGTTCTTGAGCAGGCTGCAAATGGTCGTTTTTATAAATGTAGTATAGTTCACTATAAGTAACTTTGGACAAGATATACCAAAAATGATCAGTTAATTGGTGTATTAGAGAAGACAACCGAATGGAAAATGTTTACGATTGATTCCAGACTGTTTAGCATCATAATTCAGTTGGAAAATGAATTATTAGTTGCGATTATCAACCATCATGACTGAAGTTTTCTGTAACGTATTGCTTTTCTACTGCGAATTGGCTAGTTGCAAATCCGATTAGTTTGCGTAGAATCATATGTGTAACGTTCCCTCCAGTCGAGTGAATTTCACACAAAATAGTTGGATTTGAATGCAGGCAATTCGTAGTTGAACAGCTACAGGTTCAAAAATAGTTGAATCGTGGTTGTTAATAATCGCAATTAATAATCTATTTTCCGATCGAATTATGATGCTAGATAATTTTGGTTCAATCGTAGACATTTTTCACTGGGATAGCAGAGAAATCATCGGTTTAATATAGGCTGTTACAGTATTGTTAAGGAACTAGTGATCGAGTAGATGAATTGATGAAGAGACAAAGATCATGGATTGTAAAATAGGTTGTAAAGTAATAATCCCAGGTCAACAAATCCGATGCTGGATCCGATCGGATTCCTGGAAGCGGAATTGCATTGGAATCCGACTAGAAAAATCCCGTCGGTTGTTGCAAATTTTATGAGCGATCTTTTTAGCTGTGTTCTATGATGACCCTTGTGAAATCCTATTGCGTATTAAGAACTGTTGAATCATCAAGCGATTATATTTTTTATCAGACATGGAATGGTAACGGTCAAAAATGTAAATATATATATACATATATAATCTCTGATATCTTATTTATTTTCGTTTTAATTTCAAGTTTAAAATAAATTAACAATTTTAAACTAAGGGCTACACATGTATCTGCAGACTGAATTATGGAGCTAAAGATATGACGCGACGTTCAATTTTTAGTTAAATCAAGACACATCAATGGACTTGAAGACATCCAAGATGCACCTTGACTTGGCTTGAGTAAATGAGTCGATGACTTCCTTATCTATGCTTTTCATTTAACAATATGAATAACGAGAAAAAGCAAAAGATAATTGATGATAAACTTTCTCTTACAGCATTTGTTGATATCAATTGGTTGTAAATATACGGCGATGATGATAGTTTACTGACATCGTAATCTAATACATTAGGATTCAATGAACCCTGATCCGCCCACCTGGGGTTCGAATGGACTCCTACAAGAAATCAATTCAGTTTCCTCTACTCCTAACGTTAGTTGGAAACTTTTGTTGTAAGATATATGTTGGGAACACCTAGTAAAATATGCTGATAATATCAGATAATCAGATTCAACTGTTGTTAATTCAAGAAGTCACCGCAAAATATGCATAGCTGTTCAGTATGCAATACACGATTCCGTATCTTCGAAAATTTCAATTTGATAGTAATATGAGAAAAGACTGAGTGTAGTTCACATAGGTTAGTTGTAAGTCTGCTTATTCAGCTTGCAACTAAGTCCCCTGCATAAGCACTATAGTTACACAACCAAACTACTGTAACTTTATATTTAACTTGTCGTTTATTAGTCTGTGGTTCGCGCGGACCCCAGATGGGCGGATGAGAGTTAATTTCCGTTTATTTTTGATAGCAGAACAAGAAATATAAAAGATGAGAATAAAAGAAGGAGAAATGTTTAGTTTTATTGAATTCCTGTCAAGATTTAAACGCGAATGAAAAAATTATAATACATATCCTTGAAAATCATTGTTAAAAGGCTTCTTCTGACCAAGACGCGGGAGTGTGGTATATCAATCTAATACCGCATACCGCCGGTCTCTGATCTAACGCTCATTCGCGTCTTTACAGTAGTGTGTACAATATACAATAGTACGGAAAGGTCTCGTTAATGGTGGAACGATCGAACTACACGATGATAACAGCTTCGCAATCATTTCATTCATTCACGAAATGTGATACTAATACCCGCGAATAAAACTAAAATAAGCAATCTAAAATAGAAAATAAATACATAATATTCAATTATTTTGTCAAAAATTCATTTAAAATCTGTAAAACGTTTTTATTTAAACTTTAATAGCATTTTTTCTATCTTATAAGTATTATATGTATATGTGCCATTGGCGTTGTCATTTTGATAGCCTCTTTAAAGATGACAAAAACATCACAAAACGCGTTCCGAACAAACGATTTCTATCGAGTATTAAGAGGGAAAATCTCTGCTACGTAAACTCAACAAACAACATAAATAAGTGTAGTAAGAAATATCGCCATTTCCATAAAATGATCCAATACTATGTCTAATCCACAAAAAAGAAGTCATTTTTCTTCGTTTAAATCTATTAAATAGTACAACAAATTATATGGATCTTAATGGGTCCGGTACGTTTTGCCGACAGTCACTTTGCCGACAATCACTTTGCCGACGATCATTTTGCCGACAATCATTTTGCCGACAGGTACCTTTTGCCGACAGATTATTTTTCCGACAATTATATTTTCAAAAAATTTGTATTATCTGTATAATTGGATAGTTTCGTATTTGACTAAAACCGGCGCTTCAGAAGTACAACACAAGCAATAGAATGACGTAAGTTCTGTTGAATAGAATGTGAATAGTTCGTCAAGAAAAGACAATAAATATAGATAACCATAGTGCATAATTTAAGTTCATTAGTTTTTAAAAACGTTTTCGATAAAAATTACAAACATTTATAAAGAAAGATTATGTGCAATACCTCGTAAAAAATCAATAGTTGCTCTATTATCACGATCAGCAATAACGTTTTGAATTCTGACTTCTCTATCTTCATCTTCTTTTCGCTTTTTTGAGGGTGGTTCACCACGCATTGATTTTTCAATTTCCATTTCCACTATATTTTGTTCCTTTTGAATTTGCTTGATAATTGTAAAAATGCCAACATGAGATCGACCAACCAATGTTTCCCATCGTCTATGCCATGCTTCAACTTTTTTTGGGTTCTTGGAAATGCAAATTCCATATTATCAAATACAGACCACATTGATGGTGGAAATAATGGATTGTGTCGTTGGACTGATCCATTTCTCATCAGTCTTTTTACTTTGCCATGTACATAATTATCTTCAAACCATTGAAAAATTGGTTCAGCATCAGATGGTAATAAATCTTTAATGGCATCGAATGCATCAGGAATTTCTAAAGGATCTAAAAATGCCAAAGCTGGAATATGTCTTATAAGTAGACTGAATTTTTCATCATTTCCATATGTTTTTGCAAGTCCTGCATCTTGAACATGTCTATATACCAACTGCCCCAAATGAAAATGACAACCTTTGCTTTGAGCACCTGGAAATTCTGATTTGATTCCATTGATTGAACCTTTTTCAAAGTCGGTAAGAATAAATTGTGGATTCAATTCCAGATTATTTTCTTCAGCTAATTCATTGAGTGTTTGAAATAATCTTTGGTATAATTCTTCACTTTTCAAACTCATAAGTGCATATACTAATGGAACAATTTGAAAATTTACATTTCCACCAGCAGGTGCATGTATACTATATAACTGACGAAATAAAGTTGGAACAGTTTTGAATGTTCCGTCCATTATCCAAAATTTTGCTTCCTGAAGCCATCGCAGATTTTCAGTTGTTGTGAAAAGTAAGATTCTTTCAGTTCCATGAATGATGTCTTTCGCAAAAGACAATCCACTTAAAGTAGTAGAATATATATCAGGTAATGTAAATTCATTTAGAGATTTTGGTTCTGTTTCTTCATCACAAAGACGTTTTGCTCTTTTAATTTGTTGTCTTAATGCATTTTTCTTTGGCAAACACGGCTGTATATCACGCGGTGTTTTAGCAATAACATTAGTAATAATTTGTACAGGTGCATCATTGGTGATTTCAGCAAGTTCCTTCATTTGATTGCATGCTTTTAATGAAAAAAATCTGCTTGCTTCTGCAGCATGGTTGTGTTCATTAGCATCAAATTTATGAATTTTATGTTGAGTTCCAACACAAATTGTAACAGCTCTTGCTGTGCATTTCCCTGACTTTTTTCCCTTTCGTTCACAAATCCAATAATATGTATCATTGCGGTTTTTGTCCTTGACATATAAAAACCCATCAATATTTATTTTCAGATTGTTTCTTGTAGATTTGACCAGTTCAGCATAGCCACTTGAACCATTTCCATTGTTTTCACTAGAAGCCATAGTCAAATTGTTATTTATTTCACTTGAGACAAATTATCAATGAGGTACTTGTTTTAACTGATATCAAATCAGTGTCTGATTTTACTTAGAAAAAATATTCACTATATATATAAGTGGATGAGTTGGAGATTTCCAAAGAATATCTCAAAATATTCATGAACACGAAGGATATATCCCAAAGCAAGTTAAAAAGTACTTGGAAATAACCATATGTAATGAATAGGAAAGAAAGAAAGGATTCATATATATCATATGTTATCCAGATGACACACACATATATATATATATATATATATACATATAAGAAAAGAGAAAAAGAATATAACCATCAGTCATTCTATTAAACTGTTAAATTTAAAAGGGATATTTTCATGCCATAATTTTATGAAATTTTTGTCGGCAAAATGATTGTCGGCAAAGTGATTTTCGGCAAAACGTACCTGTCGGCAAAACGGCGTCGGCAAAATGAGTGTCGGCAAAATGATTGCGACCCATCTTAATGATGTTAGTGACGTTGACACATGAATTTCCGCATGAAAGTTTTCATCAAATTAACTAATGCTTGTCGGAACATATGGCCTCCACTTAATGTATAAATATAGAATGGCATTCCAGCCGCAATAAACACGAATAGGAAGAGCAAGTTAACGATGAAGTTTTCAATAGTACGTTGTAATGTTGATTTCACATTGTGTCTCGTTATTGTTGTGTAGATTTTTGAAATAGCAAATGGTAAAGTGAATACAAGGAGAATCAGAATTTGTACAAGAAGCATCATTAACAAGTAACGATCCATTTTTTTCTCTTGATTTTGATCTTCAACGCCAACTGTCGATCTGTTTTGATCGGTATGACTGTCGATTTTCATAGGTGTTGGATGTAAACGAGCTCGCGATTGACGAATATTTGAAATGATCATTAAACCAAATATTAGCATAAAACATAATGGACACAATATGGTAATCAGAGCAAAACATAAATCTGATATAATACCACATATTTCTGTTTTTGAATAACATTTTACTGGAGTATTAATAAGATTCGCTTCGAAACAAAACAATTCTTGTATATGAATAAGAGTTGAAAGTATGACAGTGAAAATTGTACTACGTTGAGCATTTTTTAAAGTACTCATTCGTCGTCGGTTAGCATTGATACTTGAAGAAAGCCATCGATCAATTGTACCAAGTAGAATTAACCAATATGCAACCGTCATTGAGTTAAGTGCGACAAAAATTCGAATCTTACAAAGAAATTGATTTGTATTTGTAAGATCAATTTCCCATGTAGATAAAACTCGTGAAACGATACCACCAAGAATACTGATAAAAAACGCAACGGATGACATGAGAAAAAGCCACGTACAAGGATTTGAACGAAACTTTCTTTGTGAGAGAACGAGTATATTGCAACTATTGCCAGTAATTCCAAAAAGAAAGATCAAAATTGCGAAATAGCGATTGATTTGAATGGAACCATTGTTTAATAAAGCAATCAAATTTGCTTCTGACATGGATGATGACATTACTTTACTGAATTTTATTAGAACCAGCTACTCATAATTGTAAATATACAAGAATTATTTCATGTCATTTTGATGTGTTAAAAACGAGCACGTTTTGATGTTATTCATAGAAAACAATTAATTACATTGCACATTTTGTTAAAGTAGTGCATGTTCATTTTCATTATTTAATTGTCAGATCTGTAAATAAAGTTAAATCAAATTATCATTGACTGACTTTACATTTTAACAATCGTATTCATGTTTTCTTCATTTTATAATTTTTTTCACAACTTTCAACGTCGGATTAGTTGAAGAGTTCGTATTCTATAAAATTTTTCACGAAAAGGAATGTATCGATGATGGTGATATTTTTAGTGTTTATACTGCGTGTTTACTTATTGTATCTACACAATATATGGTGAATGACTAATGAAATATGTTTCAATCTCTTCGTTTTTTTAATCAATGAATATATATCGTAGCTAAGAAAAAGAATTAAATAAAGTTTTCAATACAGAAATTTCCACCAACAGAATCATCATTTTGGTAACAAATATTTTGAAAATAAAATCGTGAATAGACTGAGAACAACGATGATTTTATTGCTGCATGAATCCAACCAGATCGAACAATATTGAACGCTTCACCAATTAAACTAGTTTGATTTGTATTATGTTTTGCTATTGGTTTTGAGGCCCAACTTTGTATTTTTTTATTGGTAACGTTACTATTCGATTTCTAAAAATGCCAAGCACCAGGTCATAATTTAGTAAATGTTTTTGTTGGTCTTGGTATTTCAACATCAGTAAATAATCCTTTTAATCCTCGTAATTGTTCGTCATTTAAATCATTTTGTGATGATCGACCAATTAATGTTAACCGCATATCAACACACAATCCATCATCATAAACTGTTTTTGTATAATCGATTTCACAACAATTCGAAGCAAAATACACAATATGTGAAGCAATATAGTAATTCTATGTGTTGTAGTCTGAAGAAGCTCACGTACATCCCAAGCAGACATGTTGATTTGTTCTGATATGCACATGAAAAGATATGACATAATTATCAAAAGATGTACATATATAAAGAGAGAGAAAACAACTCAATTACTTCATTCTTCGTAGCTTGTCAATCTTTTTTGCATTTTTCATCGGTTCCTTTCACCAATAGAGTGAAGATTTTCAAAAATAGTTCAAAAGTAATGGCTGGTAATAACAACCATATGCAAGGGTACATCAATAAGATGATTGCAAACAATTCCGAACAACATGGTGTACCTTCAGACGAGAATCGAGATGATATAGTGCCTATGCGAGTGACCGATGTTGATGATGGTCATGGAAGTACGGGTGCTCTTTAACTGATCGGATTTTGGAATGGTCAAGCAATCTACAGAACTACTCATACAGTAGCTCATCGTAAGAAAAATATCTGTACCCGAGCAATTTCAATCTTTTTGTATAGACATGGAAGGCAATCAGCTTGGTCAATATGAAATACACTGGCCGCCAGTATTTCTCGACGTCTGGATACCGGAATGCAAAGTTCTACAAACCGACATCAGCATTCGTGACTGGGTATTTAGAAAATTCTAATGAAATATATACACAGGAGTGTATTTAATTCATTATAGTTCGCACCGGTCATATCACCTCCAACGGATGATAATGATGATGACCTTGATGACATAGAAGAACAAGAACAAGAAGAGTATGACGATGATGATGACCGCTATCGCGTATACGGCTATGAAGATGACGAAGATAATGATATTGATGAGCAATTTGATTTAATTGATCTTCTCGAAGAACAAGAAGAAATTGAATCTACATTATCCTACCTCAATTCAGTAGATCTTGAATGGGTCACCGTAGATGCTGATGATCACCATTAGATTTTCATTCAAGTCTTTCAAACAATATTTCTTCCTTTTCTTTTCTTTTAACAGTAGTCTTGAATTTAGAAATTTCATTAATTCATGCATGCATTGATCTGTAGTACTTGTCTTCGTTTTCGAAAAGTTCGAATAGAGCATTGCTCGTTCCTTCGAATAAAATATAAACAATCACCTAGTGAATTTAGCTGTCTGTCAAAAAGATGTTATTCAAAGGATAAGCTCAAAACTGACAATTACATTTCAAAGTAGACATCCTCACAATTGAAAAAAAAACATTGTAAACGGATAAACTCTCTGCCTCCCATACACTGTTCGAACTGATCCATGCCAATCTAAACTGTTTATTTGTTCTGATACGAGAAGGAAAGCAGGGATAATTAGGCGCAAGAGAGACGAATCTATAAATAGAGAGAGAAAAGCTCCATTCTTTCTCACCATTTGCACTTCTTTCAACAAAATTTTCACATTTCGCACTCTACACAACAATTATTATGGCTTACAGTCCCGAGTACATCAACAGCATGAAGAATAGCAATCAACTTCACTTTGGCCATCTCAAAAGTAAAGCAGCCGAGCCGGTAACACCACCGGTGTGGCTGGCTAACTTTAGTGATGGTCGGGGGGGAGCTGGTCCCGTTCATTTGGTTGGTCGCTACGGTAAACAACCAGTCTATCGAACCAGTAATGCTGTTGCTAGTTGTAAGAAAAAACGTTGAGAGTAAAAACCTGATAGACTATACTATCATTTATAGACTTAAAAAATCAACAACAAGACAATAAATTTACGATTTTTTGGCCGCCAATTTTTTGCGACCTTTGGATCCCACAATGCGATATACTCCAGACGGACTTCCTCATCCGTGACACCGTAAGCACATTGCTAAAACACTTTGAATAATGAAATCGCATACAAACCTTTTCTCATTAAACAGGTCCCTGCATTTGTTCCCTACATGGAAAATGTAGCCCAAGAGAATGTCCCCAACGCTGCCGATTCCAACAAAAACATCCATCATCACCCGTCCTCACCTAGCCAACCTCAATGATGCACAAACCAGCGTAAAAAATAAACACATATCTTAGTGTAACAATTCCTTAAATGCTTCATTCTTTTTTTTTCAATAAACCAGCTCTTCTTTTTTCGTCTACCTCAACAATGCCGAAACTCGAAACATCGTGGGAGCCTCGCATGACATACACTAAAACAGCAGCAGTCAGGACTAAAATGTAAAACAACACACTTCAACAACTCAACATACTTGAAAGAAATTACCCCAAAAAAACTTACTAGAACAAATCCAAAAAATAATGCACAAACACATACATATCATAGACAACATTTAAGCGAAAACACGAGCACCATCACTTCCCCGAAATGTTCTCCAACTACTCTCATAACTACTGATTTCCACCAGTATCTGACTACTCCATTCCCTATTGTACAGCCGATTCAACGGAAACAACCAAAAACTTTCGCAGAAAAAGTTTTTTCTCTCTCTATAACTTACATGATCAAACAGACATCACACAACTGACACGAAAAGGTGGAATTCTCACGTTTAGATGATGCCAACTGCTTCTGCCTGTGCAACTTCTCCTTCCAAATCATATCTATTTGCTCGATTCCATCCCATTCCGCCCATTGAACAAAAAAGCCAAAATCGTTCGCGAAAAAAATTTCTCTTCACATGTGAGCTGCATGGTAAAATATACGTTGAACAGCTGACATGAAAAAGCGAATTTCGATCGTTTAGACGATTCCAATCGCATCCAGCTGCACATCTGTTCATTTGAAATGATGTCAACTATCTCTGGTTCGTTTCGTTGCTTCGATTGGACCTAAATCAAGAAAAATGGCTCACGAAAAAAATTTCTCTTCACATCTGAGCTGTATGGTAAAATATACGTTAAACAGCTCACATGAAAAAGCGAATTTCGATCGTTTAGATCATTCCAATCGCATTCACCTGCACATCCGTTCATTTGAAATGATGTCAACTATCTCTGGTTCGTTTCGTTGCTTCGATTGGACCTAAATCAAGAAAAATGGNATGCATGCACCTTCAAACGTGAACATTGTTAATACAAAGAAGAATCGATCAATCACATAAAACATTTATAATGATATCTTACATCTATGGTTAGACATTCGTATTCATATATTATCTGAGTTTCTTATGATATAGCTATGGCAATTTCATCATTGATCAAATTCCATATTGGTTATGTTTTATTTGCATGAAGCTTATTTCTCATTTTGGTTGATATATGAACTTTTTGACCTGTGTTATTTCGTATTGATATGTAAATAACTCAATGTATTTCATGTTTTTGACGAAACTTTGGTTTACAAAGGCTGCTTGATGGACATAATAACAAAGATTTATACATTTATTACGAAATGATTGATTCATATTGTTCTGGATAGGTTCCAATTTCTTGGCCAATCAACTTTATTATCATTATAGACTTCAAAAGAATTATTATTGTGTTTACCTTAAAACGATGGATATTTGTCAACTTAATGAATTGACTGATGATATGATGAATTTAAGTTACGAAGAGTTATATGAATTTTTGAAAACTACTTTGAATAATGACTTATTTGAACTTTTTCGAATTCAAGCTAATCGCGATGTGTTCTCTTTATCATCAACAACAGTCGATCAATTAATTGAAATTTTCAATTTTGATATTCTGAAATTGAATCCGTTGAAACAAAAACTTGGCTATGTTTCAACAAATGGAAATTTGTATCTTTGATTCGGTTTTCGAAATTCACTTGATCGTTTATTATCATTAATAAAGACGAAGATGAATTCACGCATGAATAATTCAATTGTACCGGTTAATCACTTTAAATGTGATATTACACAAAAATTAACAGAACTGATGGGAAGGTACACCTAGTTTATCAAATCATAATAATGTGTTCCTATCCGTATTTCATGGATTAAAAATATTGTTCAAAATCTTAAAAGACTGAAGAATAAATTTAGTTATGATCATCGTACTCAACAATTTGCTCTTCTACTATTAGTTCTTGGCTGTCGAAATTATTATGGATTTCTTCGGTTGAATTTATATGGAGCATTACCTCATATTACTACTTTAGAGCTATTGATGAGTAATCAGAACGTTAGAATTATTGAAGGACAGTTCAGATTTGATGTATTACAAGAATATTTATTTTATTCTACTACAAAGACTCTCGTCAAATAGGCAGGGAGTATATTTCGATTTCACTTAAATAAAGATACACCACACAGTGGCTCTTCAGGTCCGTTTACGTCTTGTTCCATATCTCTACATCAATATCGACAAGACAACGTTGACAGCGTTATATTCTATCGCAACGTCTCCTTTTTTCATTANTTACTGAATTTTATTAGAACCAGCTACTCATAATTGTAAATATACAAGAATTATTTCATGTCATTTTGATGTGTTAAAAACGAGCACGTTTTGATGTTATTCATAGAAAACAATTAATTACGTTGCACATTTTGTTAAAGTAGTGCATGCTCATTTTCATTATTTAATTGTCAGATCTGTAAATAAAGTTGAATCAAATTATCATTGATTGACTTTACATTGTAACAATCGTATTCATGTTTTCTTCATTTTATAATTTTTTTCACAACTTTCAACGTCGGATTAGTTGAAGATTTCGTATTTTATAAAATTTTTCACGAAAAGGATTGTATCGATGATGGTGATATTTTTAGTGTTTATACTGCGTGTTCACCTATTGTATCTACACAATATATGGTGAATGACTAATGAAATATGTTGTAATCTCTCCGTTTTTTTAATCAATGAATATATATAGTAGCTAAGAAAAAGAATTTAATGAAGTTTTCAATACAGAAATTTCCATCAACAGAATCATCATTTTCGTAACAAATATTTTGAAAAAAAAATCATGAATAGAGTGAGAACAACGATGATTTTATTGCTGCATCAATCGATAATGAACGCTTCACCAATTAAACTAATTTGATTTGTATTATATTTTGCTATTGGTTTTGAGGCCCAATTTTGTATTTTTTTATTAGTAGCGTTACTATTCGATTTCTAAAAATGCCAAGCATCAGGTTATAATTTAGTAAATGTTTTTGTTGGTCATGGAATTTCAACATCAGTAAATAATCCTTTTAATCCTCGTAATTGTTCGTCATTTAAATCACTTTGTGATGATCGAGCAATCACTATAAATAACGCTCGTCGAGGCAGACTCGCTTTACCATCGACTGGTTTTTTTAAATAAACGTCATATGGTGAAATGGTTTCTTGAAACGTTTTTTTATTTCGAAAAATTGAAGATGATATTCACGTAAAACCACCTTTACCCATAACTGCAAACATTTAGAGAATTAGATAATGCTCGCCGAGGCAGAGTAGCTTAGCTCTTCACTGTTTTCTTTTCATTCCACTCATTTCGTAAAGACTTTTCAGAAGATATATCAAACCATTCATCTCGCAGTCGGTCTTCGACGCTTCGAAAACAATTACGCTACTTCAGCAAAATCATAGATAAAGAAGACTTTCAGATAGCAACTGAAGTTCATTTACTGGAGGTTATGAAAGGAGACTCACACAGCTAAATAATATAACGTATTGAATGACTGGTTTCCTGACTCATTCATCCTAGATATCCAATTTGTCAGCTTTAAAGACCGCAATACCTGATTGGTCAATTTCACAATCCCTTACAGTTATCGATTCGCTTCATCGATCTTCGAATTCTATTCGTGAAGTCACTATCAATGTTGACTTTTGACTCTGACACAAGCACACCCCCATATACAGTATTTGTCGTCATTTGACCCTCTCTCTCCAGACCAGAGAATATCTAATGTGTACATATGCATATCCATAATATCTTATCATATTAGTCAATTTATTGCTGCGGCCAACGTCTGTTTAAGACCTAAGACTCTTTCCCTGGCATATAAAAACTAGGTTCGGTTAGCCTTTTAACGAATTTCAAACAATATTTGGTTAAATTTTGAGCATTTTAGAAAATAATGTTTTTTGGACCCTTGACCTCTGATCCTGCCACAGACAGACAAACTATTTTTTTTGTATGACCCTCCTTTCAGTAGAGGGAATATAGGGCGTGAATATATATTGCATAAGCATACAAACATGCAAGTTTATATATAACGATCTGAGGGAATCTCACCAAAAGTCAGCATTAGTACAGCCGATCGGGTTCATCTTCGAACTCGAGTGAGGTATTGATAAGATGATGTTGTGTAGAAAATTTCAGCTTAATTCGATTCTTCTATCAAAAGTTATCGCGTAAACGGCCGGACAATCACACTGACCGATTCTAGTAGTGTACTCACTTTTTGAGTACACAAAAATGCAAGTAATGAATCTGCATATAGAGACAGCAACTTAATGCAGCGTTGAGAATAAAAATTAGGGTGAAAACGTTTTGCACTCGAACTTTACGCTAAAATAACTTTTGCTACTTTTACACAGGAAAACTTTAGGCCAAAATCAGACTTTGAGCTGTCAGTAGTTTTCCAACATATGTTTAAACAGCGAACCTCGCCCTCATCTTGTATGTGTTGGTCGTGGAGATGTTGCTGAAGATGTCAATTGAAACTTGTCGAAACGTCCGAATCAAATAAAATCGTGTTTTTCGTTATGAAATCACATCATAGCAATTTTTTCGTTTTAACACCTATGACCTATTAAAATTGACGAAAGCTGAAGTAATCTCCAATGAAAAACTGGCTTGCTACATATTGGCAAATGATAAGCGGTAAAGTAAAGGGTATTAAGAACCTGAAGCCATAAAAAGAATGTATTTCGTCGTTTTTAATTATGGTATGAAGTACACTAAAAAAAATGCGGCGTTTAATCAACCCTCAAAAAGGGTTTATGACTGAAAAATTTGTTCATCAACCTGATCTACCCCTAGATCAACCCTTTTTTCTTCAAAAACTCACGAAGGGTTTGTTATACGTTGCAAACTGATCAAACCCTTTTCCCTTCACCCGCTTCCTCAAC